TCACTTTTGGATACAGGACACTTACCCAAGTTGAAGTCTTGAAGAAATCATCAAAATCGCCCAAGAACCGTGCTTCAAATATCCAAAACGAAATGAAGAAAATGACCATTTTTGGTCCTCAAGTTTCTGCCGAATAAATGCTATTCTGGTCGCTAAAAGTCCAACCCCGTCGCTAAAAGTGTCAAATCTGGTAGTTAAAGGTGCGCACCAGAACTGTTTACACCAGCAGTTTTGTTTTCACTAAAAATGCTCTAACTCCATCATACGAACTCGGAATTCGACGATTCTTATTCCTATGAGTCACAAATAATAATACGAACCTACTTCTTCAATCGAAACTCAATTCGGAGCTCATTTGCTCAATGCGATATCAATTTCGCTCGTTAAACAATTAACTCATGTTTCGCGCTAAAAACCCAATTGCGACTTGATGAAATTAGACCAAACTTTCCAGATCACTCCTATAATTTATTATTAAAATTCTGAAAGTTTTGAAATCAAATTTCGTTCTCTAGAACTAAAAATGGACCTTTGGATCATTACATGCTTATGCTAAAAATATCAAACTCTTCCCCGACAGCCTCTAGTGTATCAACCATAACTTCTTGTACTCAACTCCAACTGCTAAACGGTTTACATTTCTGCAAACTAGATACAAAGGGCCACAACTTTTATATTTTGCTCATCGCCAACTCCTTATAGATTGTGAGATATAAGCTCCCAAAATCAGTCTTGTGCAGCAGAAATTTCTGGTGATACACACTGCTGTAGCCAAAATCTACAGTACCATCTTCAGTCAGTCAATCATAACTCTATATACAAATGTCCAGATGATGAATAGTTTAACTTTCTAGAAACTAGAACCAAAGAGTTACAACTTTTATGTTTTTGAAAAATTTCAGATTTCTTATAGATTTCGAGATATAAGCTTCCAAAGTCAGCTATGTGATTGCACCAGTTGCTGTCCAAAAATAGCTTCTGCAGCAGAATAATTCCAGCAGCTCCTTTTGTCCGAAACCCATTCCGTTAACCTTCTGAAATCCGCCCGAAGCCCTCGGGATCTTAATCAAATATACCAACATGTCCCAAAACACAATACGAACTTAGTTGAGGCTTCAAACCATGCTAAACAACGCCGAAATTCCGAATTGCGCATCGAATCGAATTATGAGTTTTCAAATCTTCCAACTTCTATATTTTGCGCCGAAACGTATCAAATCAATTCCGATTGACCTTAAATTTTGCACACAAGTCATAAACGATATCAAAAAGTCAACTCCCCGGTCAAACTTCCCAAAAATTCAACTTTCACTATTTCAAGCCTAATTCCTCTACCGACCTCCAAATAATTTTTCGGACACGCTCCTAAGTCCAAAATCACCATACGGAGCTATTGGAATCAACTTAAGCTTCCAACATGAAATTCATTCTTCCAAGCTAACTCCGAAATATCTTAAAATCAAAACCGACAATTCACACAAGTCATAATACCTCGTACGAAGTTATTCAAGACTTCAAATAGTTTAAAGGAGCGTAAATGCTCAAAACGACCGATCGGGGCGTTACAACATTTCAATACATGTTCAATGATTGTTTTTGCATCTTCTTTTCCGCACCTATTACTCTCTAACCTTTTGGCTACTGCGCACTTATTTTTCTTAAATTCTGATTGAGCCCAGTAGATAATGTGACATGTCTTGCTATCATCATTTTGTCCTTCACCTTCCTTACTGAATCACATTGAGTAATGAGTTGTAAAATAACAACCCCAAACTGTAAATGTAATTTTTCAAGTGGCACTAGATCTCCATCATAAAGTAAATAACTTTTGGTAGAATATCAAATTTGTAGATTAACAAGAATAAATATACTTGTTTTGATTCTAGAAAAATTATTTTAGAGCTAGACTATTTCTAGTCTAATTTTATACAAATTCTTTAGATCAAGATAGTTATATGCAATCATCCTTAAGTTAAGCGTTTATATCATTACCAACTTCTTGCATATAAGAAGAGACCATGAATCTATAAATAAATAATATGTCCTTTTTAATTGCCGGTCAAAAAATGTGTTTGCTTTATAATATACAAAATAACAAAAAATTTCAAGTTCTAAATTGATAATTGTGTTAACTACGTTTTGGTGTTTGATCCACTCTAGTAATTCTTTCTTTAGTTTGTTCTAGTACTTGCTTCATTGTACAAAGTGTCAATAGAAGTAGCGTTCGATTGAAATGTAAAAAAGTCGATCAACTTTAGATGAACACTTAGGTATATACATTGCATGTATATTTTATGTTAGTTATTACAAAACTTGTGTATGATAATTTATAATAACTGAAAATTCTTTTTCATATTTTACTCATTTTATGAGAGTGCTAAAACTTGTTCGAAGCTTTTTTATTTTATTAATACAAAAAAGACTCTTAAACCTAAATAAAGTACAAAGTGTTCGAAACTTTTCTAATGTGAATTTGAAAAGAATTAATTTGTAAAAAATTTATTAACAACTAAAAGAGACTCATAAACCAAAAAAAAAGTACACTGTGATTGAAACTTTTCTAATGTGAATTTGCAATTTTTTTTAAAATACAGTACAATTATGAAGTATCCCCTTTTTTAATCACTCTTTTCTTTTTCCTTTTCCTTTTTTCATCTTTCTAATTTTTGCTTTTTATCTTTGTAATTTTCTGTTGGTGAAAAACCCTCCTAAACTGGAGAAATAAAGAAATTTGCATGGACTTCAAAATTCAATTCCTCCAATTATTTAATGAAAATACACATGTCCTATCTGCCTCAAAAGATCTACTTTTATAATAATTTAATTTTTTTTTTTAAAAAGACTAAACCTAAATAAGACTAATAATTGTCCATTTGATTACTAAATTTCAAAGACACCCTTTCCCATTTACATACTTGGGCTGTCCTATATTCTACGGCAGGAAGCAGAAAGATTTCTACAAGAATATCATATTCAAAGTGCAAGAGAGGCTATCATCATGGAAGAGTAAGCTATTATCAATTGGTGGTAGGACAGTATTGATATCCCATATGCTGGAAAGTATGCCAATACACCTCTTGTCAGCTGTGAATCCACCAGCATATGTTATCAATCAATTGCACAAGATGTTTGCTAGATTCTACTGGAGCAACACACGGAATGGTAGGGCTAGACACTGGGCTTCATGGGATACTTTGTCTTTAAAGATGAGGGAGGTCTTGGCTTTAGGTCTTTACATGATGGGTCCAAGGCATTGTTTGCCAAACTTTGGTGGAACTACAAAACAAAAGATACCTTATGGACTGCATTTATGAGAAACAAGTATTGTAAGAAGATCAATGAAGTGTTGGTGTTCTCATGTTTGGAGGAAAATGCTGCAAATGAGGGAGGTCTTGGCTTTAGGTCTTTACATGATGTGTCCAAGGTATTGTTTGTCAAACTTTGGTAGAACTACAAAACAAAAGATACCTTATGAACTGCATTTATGAGAAACAAGTATTGTAAGAAGATCAATGAAGTGTTGGTGTTCTCATGTTTGGAGGAAAATGCTGCAAATGAGGGATGAGGTAGAGCACAAAGTTTGGTGGCAATTGAAGAGTGGCAACTCTTACTTCTAGTATGACATTTGGACTAGACTTAGAGCTCTTTATCATGCTTCAGATCCAGATCATTGGTGTGATGAATCTATAAAATATGTTGATGTGGTGGTGGAGAATGGGGCATGGAATGAAGTGCTGTTGAGAGAGCTATTGCCTGTTGAATTAGCTGACCATATACTGGATACTATCACACCACATGCTGATCATTCTGTGAAAGATAAACCTTGGGGGAAGCTGAATACAAAAGGCCAATTTACAGTGAAGTCTGCATGGCAATATATAATGAGGAGAAGATAAGAAAGCAAATTGTACAGATTCTTTTGGGTGAAGGGCCTGCCATTCAAGGTTAGTTTCTTTATGTGAAGGTTATGAAAAGCAAAGTTACCATTAGATGATTGGTTCTTAAGACAAGGATACTTTCAAACTTCAAGGTATTGGTGTTGTAGGAACCATAAAGAAGAGACATTGCCTGATGTGTTTTTGAAATCTCTAGGTGCAGGATTTGTTTGGAATTATTTTGGTACACTTGCAGGGATCAAAATAGATGGAAAACAGCTTGTACAAGTCATAAATGAATGGTGGAGTAGACATATTAACATAAGCTTGAAGGCAGTGTATCATGCTATGCCAAGCTTGATTGTTTGGCACTTATGGAAAAAGAGAAACTCAGGAAAGCATGGGAAGAATGTGTCCATTAACAGGTTGATCTTTCAGATTTCAACATCAATTCAGATGCTCTTAAAGATGAGAAGACCAAACTTTAAAGGAGTTACTGCAAACTGGCCAGATCTACATAAGAAGTTACTAAATCATGTTCCTAAACTGAGGTATACTAAGGTGTTGTGGCAACTATGTCTTGTGGGTTGGATCAAATGTAATACTGATGGGGCTTGTAGAGGGGACAATGGAGGAGCTTCATATGGTTTTTGCATAAAGGATGGAATAGGGGATCTTATTTATGCTCAGGCAAATGCAGTTGAGGATGCAACAAATAATATAGTTGAAGCGCAGGCTATTCTTGAAGCTCTCAGATACATAATTCAAATGCAGTTTCCTCTATGTATAACTGAAACTGACTCTTTACTCATGAAGAGAGAGTTGTAGGAAGTTTGGGAATCACCTTGGAACATATATAGCCAATTAGGTTGATGAAATCAAAACACTACTGTCTAGGGGTGTATTTCAGGTAGTTCATGTATTGAGGGAAGGCAACAAGTTAGATGATCATCAAGCTAACTTGACACTGGGACAATAGGCCATTGTACATGTGCACTCCTTTTGGAAACTTGACACACAAGGGAGGAAGATCTTGAATAATGACAAGCTTCAAATACCTTATATTAGGGTAAGAACTGCCAAGACAAATGTTAATTGATGATGGATTTTGAGGATATGAATTTAATGGGGAGATTCTTTGTAGTAAGGAGGATGCATTCCGGAGGATATGGGAAAGCTATAGGGGATGGAGATCACACTGTACTTCCTACTCGAATCCATAAGGAGGAGAGTAGGAAAAGTTTTTACATTAACATGTTTCTTTCTTTTGCAGGTACTTTAGAGGGTGCTTGGCTCTATGTTATGGCCAAACCTATTAGAATGGTATTAGTATCTTTGATACTCATTCCCTATAGGTGCAATCATTGCATAGGCCAGCCCAAATATACAAACAACAAGATGGAGAAGTCTGCACATAAGCCTAAAAACTGGATCCACATAGATGTCCAGTGTGGAGGAAACGGGGAGTATTACACTATAAAATGCAAATCCCTTACTTCCTGGTGATCATACAAGTTACTACTGGCAGAGTCCATGATACCACAATGGCCAATGACACACGCAAGACTACACTACTACCCAGACTGGTTATGCTTGACCATGGGATTTTACATCATTTTCCGGACAATTCAGCATCTTTTGGAGGAACTACCAGGTACATTGTGCATCTATCACACATTAGGAAGCTAGTTTTAACAGGTTTGCTGCAAAAATGATCAGGTATGAGTTCAAAACAAGGTGGCAAAGTTGCAACAACACCTCTACTGCCTTGTCCTAGACAGGTATGTTGGAACGAGTTGCGTACAATTTGGTTAAAAAGTTGTCCTTGTCAAGCTTGAATTTCAGTTCTAGATACCAGGTGGAGTTGCCTTATGCTCAAGATACCAATTGTATATGCCCAGAATCAGACGTGAAGAGGGCCAACTATTCAAGAATGTATTGCAAGTCATGCCCAAATGTGCGTTCTCAAGGATTATGGTTCATAGTTCTTTTTGTACTATTAAAGTTGAGTGTTATACACAACTTTGATAATAATTGATTTACTCATTTTTTACGCATTTACATTTTGTGAGACCTCCAGAGTCCAGACACATTGTGTTTTATTTTGTTTATTATTAATAAAAAAATATCACTAGGCACCCAGCCTAGTGGTATATTTGCTATAAAAAAAATAGACTAAACCTAAAAAAAATAAATGTTGACTTAACCTAAAAGAATGTTCATATCCTAAAAACTGATTTTCAAGGAACATGTCCTACTTGTCTTGGAAGGCTTAATATGGACATGCTTATAAACCTAAAAACTGATTTTTCTTTTACAAATATGGTATGTTACAATTCAAACACGGAAAATTTTAATACATAATTAAATAATTAAATAACTATTTTGTCCAATATAAAATTTATTTTTAACGGGTAAAAAAAGCGAACAACATTTCATTAAGAGACTTCGTGCTTTTAACATAGCATAAATAAAATAAAATTAGAACACCAAATTAGATCAAATTAAATTAGAAGTCAAGTCTTTTTAGTGGGATTTCGTGGTTTTGTGTGGGTGTATTATTACAAATATGAAATCATATGGGTTTGAGATTTGAAGAGGTTAGAACTAATGTTACCAACAATCGTTTTAGTGGACTCACAAAGAGAAGAGGATTCATATTGGGCCTGTAGTAAGCCTATTGGGCTACTTAAGATAAGCTCATAAGATCGGGGGATTTGCATATATACCTAATTTTTGGGTCACATTTTAACTTATACTCCCTTTGCAAAAATAATTACAAGCGTACCCACTTTTCGGGTAACTTCAGGCATACGGGTCTGAAGTAACAAAAAAATTATGTCTGAAGTTTGAACTTCAGAATTTTTTGCCTGAAGTGTAGCCTTATCAAAGCAAAACTTCAGATATTTTTGCCTGAAGTTTGGCCTGACTTGCAAAGGCAATCACGCAAACTTCAGTTCATAGTGTAAGGGAAAACTTCAGTTTTTCCTCACTTCATAGTGCAAACTTCAGACAAATTAATCTGAAGTTCTTCAATTTGTAGTGCAAACTTCAGGAACTTCAGTTTATAGTGCAAGGGCAAACTTCAGTTTTCCCTCACTTCATAGTGCAAACTTCAGACAAATTAGTCTGAAGTTCTTCAATTTGTAGTGCGAACTTCAGGAACTTCAGTTCATAGTGCAAGGGCAAACTTCAGTTTTCCCTCACTTCATAGTGCAAACTTCAGACAAATTAGTCTGAAGTTCTTCAATTTGTAGTGCAAACTTTCGGACAAATTAACTTTTCAGTATAACTAAGAGCTGGTTTGGCATCACATCGGGGTTTACCTCATGGGGAATTCTTCATGTTCTTCATACTGGATTTGGAACTTCTGTATATTCAGTATGAGATAAAGACATAACAAGATGAACTAGAGAGCATCTGTTGCGCTCTCGATGCATTTGGATTTGTATCTCGAGCTTGCAAAATAAAGGATTGTAAAATTTGTAGAAGCCAACATTTTACCTTCTGTTGACAGGGTTTCTGAATTCAAATAGAGAACAATAACAATACTCTGGTTTGTTATTTTATGACAGTATTTGATCAAATGTAGGTTAAGTTGTTAATTTGACTTCACATTTTATTAGTGAATATATTAAAGTAGTGGTTGAAAAGTTAATTTGATAGACAAGAAGAGGAGGAAGAAGAGGAAGCGTCTGAAGTTGTTAAAATTAGGGTATAGGTTAAATAATTTTAAAAATATGGGTATAGGTTAAATGGGGGCGACCAAATAGGGCGCCCCGTGCAATTTTTACCATAAGATCTCACAAACAAATAAAATTGTCAAAATGGCATGACATAGCCATTTTTACGGGTGGTTATTAAAAAATGGTTAGTATTTGCAAAGTTATTAAAAAGTAGTCACTATTTAATGCGGCGATAAAATCTGGATAAAAGTACCAGCATAATATGTCGGATTATAAAACTTCTACGTATAAACTTCCAATATATTTGTTGGAACTCCAGTATATTATGAATTCCACACATTATGTTGGAATCTCATATGTAAAAAATTCAAGCTACACCATATTATGCTGGAATTTTTCTTGATTTTTAAGAGTGTATTTGTTCAAATTTTATTTTCACATGAAAAAGTAGTTAAATTTCCATTAATTTTGAAATTATGACTAATTTTTCATAAGCAGTTGTAAATCAGGCTATTTCTAATTTTTCCCAATAAAATTGCGTTTGAAAATCTCAAATGAGCTATCCGACCAATATTTTTCTTAAGAAATTGGTCTTCAAATGGCTTGGTTTAGACAAAACAAAGCCGTCCGTAGCCTATCCTTGATATTGTCGCAAAAACAAAAGGTAAAGACAAAACAAATTAATAAAACAAACTTTTCCTAATTGAGTGTAAACAGAGTGTAAATGAAACTACTTTGTCAAAAGTGTTTTTTAAAAAATATCATTTTCCCCTCTAATTATGTATACATAAACAGTCTATCTGTTTGAAAGATCTTACACAATCCAAGCCATGGTTTTCAGCAAAATTTTGAACATCTTGCTATTCTTAGTACTTTTTGTTATCCCTTCTTTCTATTCACTGAACTTTAACCTCTCCAGCATCAATCCTTCTGATGCTAATCGTTCCATCAATGTCACTGGAGATGCCTATATATCGAACCAGGGTATACAAGTCACCCCTGATGAGCGTAATGTGGCATTAGGTGGAAAAACTGGTCGAGCTAATTTTATTGAGCCACTGCAATTATGGAAAAAGACTACAGGAGAATTGGCAGATTTTACTACACATTTCTCGTTTGTCATTGATTCAAATGGTAACGATAGCTTTGCTGATGGACTCGCCTTTTTCTTAGCTCCTGTTGGTTCTAGTATACCAATTGGTTCAGCTGGAAATGGCCTTGGTCTTGCCAAGGCCGAGTTAGAAGGCAGCTCATCCCCTGAGCCATTTGTTGCTATCGAGTTCGATACATTTCTCAATACTTGGGACCCACCCTATTTACATGTTGGTATCAATGTAAATTCTATGGAATCTGCTGTTACTCAAGTATGGAGGAATAACATTACACTGGGGAGGAAAAATGATGCTTGGATTAGTTATAATGCTAGTTCGCATACTCTTAAAGTTGTTTTCACTGGATTTTCAAATAATAAATTTAACAAGGACAAGCTTAGTTTATTGATTGATCTGAGGAATTATTTGCCTGAGAATGTTACTTTTGGCTTCTCAGCATCAACTGGACAATTGTTTCAGAAAAACAATGTCAAGTCTTGGGATTTCAATTCAAGTTTGAGTTTTGATCCTAACGAAGATCCAGAAAATGCTGAACAGCCTAGTGCAAGTCCTCCTATTACTCAAGTTCAAGATCCAAAGGGTCCTCCTTCCAATCAAGAAATCAGCGCCAGGAAAAAAGGAAACAAGGGACTAGTAGTTGGATCAAGCATAGGTTTGCCTGTTCTGATTCTTGGGCTGATCACTGCTAGCTGCTTTTTATTGAAGAAAAAGAGGAAAAGGAATGATAAAGACCATGTCTTTGCTGATCTGAGTATGGACAATGAATTTCAAAAGGGAACCGGCCCTAAGAAGTTTTCATATGGTGAATTAGCTCTTGCAACGAACAACTTTGCTGAGGGACAGAAGCTTGGAGAAGGTGGATTTGGCGAAGTTTATGAAGGTTTATTGAAGGAATGTAAATCATATGTTGCTGTTAAGAGAGTATCAAGCGGTTCTAAACAAGGGATAAAGGAGTATGCATCAGAAGTGAAGATCATCAGCCGATTAAGACACAGAAATTTAGTTCAACTTATTGGTTGGTGTCACGAGAAAGGGCAGTTGCATCTTGTTTATGAATTGATGCCTAATGGAAGCTTAGATAAGCATCTTTTCAAAGAAAAGTCATTGTTGGTATGGGAAATCAGGTGGAAAATTGTTCAAGGATTAGCCTCGGCTTTGCTCTATCTACACGAAGAGTGGGAACAATGTGTAGTCCATAGGGACGTAAAAGCAAGTAATGTCATGTTGGATTCAAACTTCAACGCTAAATTAGGCGATTTTGGTTTGGCTAGACTTGTGGATCATGAAAAAGGATCTCAAACAACAATGTTGGCGGGGACTGTAGGGTATATGGCACCTGAATGTGTTATGAATGGAAAAGCTAGTAAGGAGTCAGATGTCTACAGTTTTGGGATAGTAGCATTGGAAATAGCAAGTGGAAGAAGATCAATAGATATTAAAGCAGCAGAAGATCAAGTGAGATTGGTGGAATGGGTTTGGAACCTCTATGGAATTGGAAAGCTAGTTGAAGCAACTGATCCAAGATTGAATAAGATATTTAATGAGCAACAAATGAAACGTTTAATGGTTCTTGGTCTATGGTGTGCTCATCCAGACAACAAACTCAGGCCATCAATAGGGCAAGCAATTCGTGTTCTTGATTCTGAAGTTCAGTTACCTATTCTTCCCTCAAGAATGCCTGTTGCGACGTATTCTCCCCCTCCATTGAATATGTTTTCGCCTCCATTTTCACATACTTATGAAACTAAAACAGTGGGGCGTGAGCAGGAACAGACTATGACTTACACTTATAACAGTACTAAATACTCAAGTGTTTATACATCATCAGCTGCTTCGTCGACAAAATCACTTTTGTAACCACGACTACCTTTTTGTGCACATGGAATTCATTTAAGAGTTCCCATTTATATCTGTAACTTAGATGAATTTTATGTAACTTTCCTCTCTTGCAAGGATTTTGACGACTAACGGAGTTGAATGCCTCTCATGGATGCTTAAGTTTTAAATTTTGTTAGGAGCTGAGAATTCAATTCCATTTGACAGCAAAAACAAAGGAATTTCAACTTTCTTTTATGATTTTTGACTCCTTCATCTTTTGAAAGCTTGAATTAAGTTGAGCTTGTGCTAAGGAATTAAGTTCTTGGTAAAAATGTTTATAGGCATATTACATACTCGATCGCTCCTTCTTTATAGTCCGGACAGGACAAGAAATTTGCCAGAAAAAAGGTAATCTATTTGTATCTTGTAATTAACATCAAGTTTTTGAGAATACACTAGTGACAGCAACTATGTTCAAAAAGGAGTTTCTGAGAATCTGAAAACCAAACAGATACAGACACTTTATATAACAGACTAGTATCTTATGCATCATGAGGAACTTTCTTATAAACTATAAAATCGAGTTTGAAATTTTCATCTCAGCTTTTCAATATGTTTATATATGTACATATATTGCACCAGAAAGCTAGATATTTTGCAGAAAACAAAGCCATCCATTGCCTCTTTGTTCTTGTCAGAATGACAGAAAAAAAGCAACAGCAAGGCACCAAAATAACTTCTTTTTATTGATTGAAAACAGTGACGGAAAATGAAAGATATACTATTATAAAATAAAATAAAAAGACGACCTTCTCAACTGGATTTTCCATTATTTATTCGCTCAAATGCCATCTTACTGAATCTTACAATCCAGGCTATTGTTCTTTTTGTTTCTAACTTTTGATTCTTTCTGTTGAAAGCCGGCCGGCATTTCCATGTTTTACAGTTCCAGTTATAGCAGCCGTCTTTGGCCCCTATTACATTAAAAAGTAAAATTGATCTCTTTTCCCACCAGTAATTAAAGAGAGTTGATGTTAAAGGGAGAATGAGTTTTAAGGTACTTCTGCTTTTCTAGCCTTAGAGAAAAGACAATCTGTAATACAAAACTTTGATCTGTCATATAAATCTTTAATGGTTCTGAAAGAAGAAATATAATTTCAGTTTTCATTTTATTTGGATTGACGATTCATAATATAGAGAATGACAGCTGAAATGGGCAGGGTTTTCGTTTTGGGGGGTTTTAGGGTCAGCTAAGAGAAACGATATTACAAAAATACCCCTGGCACTATTTAACAGTAAGTCTGCCGTTTTGAAATTTTGACTATATTTTGCTTGTGAATATGGTTCAGCGACTTCTTGCCTTAGCATCCAAAATCCAAAATAGTTGACTTCTTGGGACACAAGTTTCCTGGTAATGAAATAATTTAATAAATACAAGAGCAGATCTCAACTAGAACCAATACAGCTAATTACTCCAACTAATCAGTTCAAGAATATTAGCAAGTCAACGCATAACCAATAACAATTCTTCACTCCCAAAAAATCATCTTAAAAAGAAAATACTATTAAAACAACCGTAAAGATTATGATGACCAGTACGTCTGCAAGATTACTTTCTGAAACTTGTGTATAAATCAAGAAAATTTTCTTTTGTCTCGGCAAGAGATTCCAAGATTAGTGGGAATTACAGTTTATGTTCAAAATAGGTAAAGCTTCTCAAAACAACAGCCATCAATTTAACAAGTCAGACATTTTGTCCACTTTTATTTCACACAATAACAAAGTTACTAACATGTCAGAATAATATAAAAACATAGACGAGATACTGGATCAGAAACATATGTAATTTCAATATCGTCGACGTCGACCTAATGATTTTTTAGTTACTGGATCCTCCCACATTGGAATTTTTATCTCAGAACCAGCATTATCATAACAGGGCAAAATGCAACCACTTCTCATATCATACCGTCTCCAACCATCAATTCCCTTATGAGTAAAATATACAGAGTTATTTCTGCAGCCAACTTGACTTGCAGGCACTGAAGCGGAGCAATTAATCCCCGCAAATAGCGTTCTATCTCCGAAATTTTCCAGCTTTAACCATGACAAATCTTCAATCTGCAGCTTAAACACTTCCACTTTGTTCACCATCTTGTTTGATCTTTCTGAAATTAGGAAAATGAGCAAGATTTCCCCATTAGACTCAAGAAAGCACTCTATGAAATGCTTTGAGTAGCTCGAAGGAATGGCTCGTTTACTACTTAGTCGTGTAAGTTGAAACTGAGATTCATCACTTTCTTCTATTACTGCCAGAGTCCCCTGCAAACTCAGTGCATAAAACTTCCCTTCAAAGATAATTGCATTGCTGAATTGTATCAGTTGCCCCTTAGGATCATTTGGATCAATTAGGCCATTTTGACTGCTTTCTTGTTGCATCCATTTTTGGTTTTTTCCTAACTGATAAACCACAAATGGTGGAAAGCAACAATATCCACTACCAACAAAAGGAGAGTAGTAAGGATGAGAATTTAGAAAGGGAAACATAAATGATTTTCTAGCATTGGATGAGTAAGTAGCCCAATGAGCATAGCCTTTGGAAGTATTCAGAAAACAGCAATCAATAGGTATATTTTCTCCATTCAACCAAGGTGAGAAGTAATGAAAATGCTTCCAAGGATCATAACGCGGCCTTCTTCTACCATGCCACCAATAGCAACCGGCTTCTTCAAATGAGAGGCTGAAGGAATGCTGCTGAGTTTTGCAATAGTATTGGGGTTCATTTGAAAGCTCAAGCCACGGTGATTGTGCGATGGAATCACATTTCTTGGATGCAAATCTCCATGATTTAGAAACACCAGCAGAACCTATGGATTTTGCTAGAGTTGAATGTGTTGGTTGCTTTTTCAGAAAGTTGAGTAGCTTTTCAGGAAGATTTCGCCATGGTTCCACATAAGCAGACTCTTCTTTAGATGAAGTTTTCTGTTTTCTCCTATCATTCGGAGCCATGTATAGATAATGGATAAAAGAAACAAGGACTAATTCTGGAGCTTGTCTAACAATCCAAAAAATGCATTTATAGTCTAAGTCTCCCTGTTCCAGCTGTTTATTTTATTAGCCTTAGGCTCCAAGAATCAAGATAGTTGACTTCTTCATAAATTATTTTTTGTTTGTGTTTTTGTTAATCAGTTGGATATATATATAAATATACAATAAGTAGTAGAGATCAAGTTTTGATTTGAAGGAATTCTTTTTTATAGGCTGAGTTTTCATTTCCTCCACTTCCCCTTCAAAGGGGGCTAAACTTGCAATTTACATATTCAATCTTACTCCAACTTATCTTGAATGGAGTGATTCTCCATAGTTTTAACTTTTTGTTGACTCCCTTGATGCTTTTATTAACACATTTCATTAGCAAAGATGATCCTAAATTTATTTACTCCAAAAACAAAGACTAAATTGGTATGATGCCAGGTTATTGATGAGTAGCTAATTGTAAATAATGGCATTGAATTTAGACCACTTAGGTTACATTTAAAAAGCGTGTGGATTGTCCTTGAATCGAAATGTAGGTAGCATAGTGAAGAAATTGATGCCTTATATTGTTACATGCAGGACATGGTTGCTGCTACTTGCTATCAAATTATGAACTTTTCGGAACTAAGAAAAATAATCTGTCTTCTGCATCTCAAAATTACAGTTGTTAAAACTGGAGGCCATATATTACTTTCTGCACTACTACTTTTTTCACAGTGAGTTCCAGATGGATGTTAAATTAATAAGGCATCTAAATGGTCAACTCAATTATTTAATTGAAAGAAACTACCGCTAACCTTGTGCTCCAAGAGATCAACTAACTTGAAGTCTACGGTTACTTGGTGGCCACATCTGATCTTGATTATTTTAAGCCTGCCTCAAGCTATATTCCCATATCATTTCCTTCTCTAGCTCCCATTTCTGCACAAAAAAAAAAGCATGGTTCAAAAAGTCAAGAAGGATAAGAATCAAAGTTCACCAAAGAAAGAAGCCAATAATAGCCCAAGGCCATGGCCAAATCTTCCCAAAGAACTCACCAGCTTAATCTCAAGTGAACCGAGTCTAATGGAAAACATCAGTTTTGGTGGTGTCACCAAGTCATGGAGATCAGCACACTCTAAAAAATGTATCCCAATAGGAAAATCCCTATGGCCACAACTCACTGAAATTCAAAAAAACAAGAATCATTCTCACTGCTTTCATATAGGATATTACTGGCCTTATGGTAGAAGATGGCGGACATGGAAGGACCCTTGGATATATTTCAAGGGTCATTCTCATGGTTCACTAATAGCAGTTGGACGCTGTCCAAATGATATCTTATTGTGGAAATCCTACAGAGAGACCTACTGTCACCTTCCATCTTGGGATACCCGCGTTCCGTTCAGGTTTGCAACTTTATCTACATTTCATCCCATAAGTCTCAATGACTATGGAAAAACTTGTATGATTATGGTGCTAACAGGTGCTGCTTCTCCAGCTTTTGTGTTCTGTGAAACGGGGGCCAGAAAAGAATGTGTGTGGAGGAAGCAAGACTGTAACCTAACTGACCCCTTTGGCTCAGGTGAACATTTGCAGTTCATAAATGCCATTGGCTTTAATGGAAAATTCTACGCGTTGAGTTTGCAGGGGACACTTGCAGTAATTGAAGAAATTGATTCTAGCCTTAGAGTCACTGAGATGAGCTCAAGCAGGGCTGTTCCTTATGTTATTTCAAGGCATTTCAGGGAAATTTTAGTTGAATCAGATGGGGAAATATTATTGATTTTCTTGGTCTCTAAAAGATCCATTAAAAAAGTGGATGATGTTGAAGTTTACAGGCTGGATATTCCAAAACTGTTGTGGGTTAAGATGGAAAGCCTTGGGCATAGAACATTGTTTGTGGAGGAAGAATGTTGTATGTGGATTAATGGCAGCAAGCTAGGATGCAGGAGCAATTGCATATATTTTACTCAGCAAGTAAGTGAAAACTGGTGGCTGTTTGACAAGCAAGCAAAATCAATATCACCTGCTCCTGAAAGCAACCTTTTTGGTATTGAATCTTTGATGTAGAATTGATCACCAGGAGCAACCAGTAATTTTCCTCNAGCTTGGTGTATCACCCCCAATGCAATATTAAGATCCCTTGCACCTAAAAAGTAGCATTTCTTTCCAGTCAATTTTTCCACTGAGAAACTCTGTTGAACAATAGCATAAAGTAAGAAACGCACAACTAATGTCTAATGAAAGACGACAAGCTTACAAAAAACATGTATGATGTTTTATAATTCAATGCCAACATAGATTATAGAAGGACCGGTTCTTCTATGTGTTCCTTATACTACTGTTGCGGAAATAATAAATACGGAAAGTAAAGAACACAAGTATTTTTACATGAAAAATACCCGGCTCACTAAATCACTGAGTCAAAACAGCATTTACAAAACTCTTTGTAAACCTAAGGATTACTTCTAATCTCTTTGTGTCAACCAGCCTCTAATTGTTGCGACAGCTTCAAGTTAACTCTAACTTCAATACAATATTCAGAGTACCTAGTACAATTGCTTCTAGATAAAGCTGAAAAGTACAATTTAAAATCCCTACTACAATGAAACTAGAATAAAAGACAGACACTTGGAACTGGTTCTTCTATCTGGTTCATGTAGCTTCAGGTTTGCACACTTGAATCACGCGCGAATTGCTTGCAAAATGCCATGCTATTTTGCTCTCAACTCACGTTTAACTTTAGCATTTGTGTATTACCTGTAGAAGAGAACAAACATATATTTATAAGTTAGCAGTATGAGATTAACTAGAGTTACTACGCTATACTCTTCCTTGGTGGAAAAGTTCTAGTTATCTTCAACTTCTAACTCCTTCCTTATCTAGGATAGAGTTCTATTGATTAAGGAGTCTTTCTCCTGATCATTTATGCAACCTTTTCGATCAGAAGATATCAGATATCACAACTTAATCTTATCTCCTTTACGTGCATCCTTTGTGCTCGAATCTGCCCGTGTCTATGTACACTGTGTATAGACCTGGTTCATGCTTGAGTTCCTTTGTCAATTATCAAAACAAACTTCACTTGGGCCAACAAATTTCCCATTTTTAATGATGACAAACTCTGTGTTTTTCATAAGCATAAGCACTATTTCAACTCAGGTCAACATCAACACAATGTTAGAACACTTTCCATTTTAAAGTCACTAATCATCAAGGACCAAGTTCATTGGGTTATAAATATCACAGTCCAAAGTAAAAAAGCACAACCTATCTTTCCCATTTTGGCATCATCGAAAAGTTGCATAATTATGTTAGATAACCAGATTTTAATAGATATTACTCATGGCCACTGGGCTACTTCAAATGCAATCATGGAGTCAAGTACTATTTGTCAATCTAATGATATTATCCATCTAAGAAGCATCAACAAAAAATGTTAGAGCACAAAAATAGTTGATTATCATTGATACTAGTCATCCACAAAGCATAAAGAGAAATAAAGATACTGGATAATGAGCAAAAAAAATAAAAATAATCCCATCCGGGTCACTAGTTTGTCTAACTAGGCTAGGAAGATCTTAAGGATGGGAAGGACCAGGTTCTTGGTTCTTGGCTTGAAGCAGTTTTAACATATCATGAAGAATACCTTCATTCTTCTCCTTCTCCTTTGCAAGCTCAACTCTGAGAGCATCTCTCTCAGTTTCTATTTCTGCCAACATCTTCTTCAGCCTTTCAATTTCAGCATCCTTAGCCCCACTCTCTTGCACCAAGGCTCGTACTTTGCTGTTCACAGATACCTTTTTGGATGAACCAGGTTCTTTGGGAGTAGTGTGGACTTCATAGTCACAAGCAGTCAAA